GCTGGGCAATAGGCCTACAATCTGTGTATTCATTTTACAGCAGTTAATATGCTGGTACATCAAATTATAAGTGTTTAAAGATTCATAGTAGCAAAATTAAGATAAGAATATAAAGAAAACTCATTAACTGAAATGTTTTGTATACCTCTTCAGATCATGTCTTTGGAAAAGGTAGCCCTACAGTTTCTGCAGGAATACTAAAATAAAGCTAAGCATTTAAATGGACTGATGGAAGAATAATGTTTAAGTCTTAGTAAAAAAAGGGTACCTTGGTTGCTATTCTGCTAAATCAGTCATACACTGCTGATATAAGCTAGTTAAAGATTGAGGAACTGTCATAAATCATCCTGAATCCATCTTGTTATTAAATATGTCAAGAAGTGGAGCCCACTGGGCTGATAAAGGTGACATTCCAGATATGCTCTTCAGCTATTATTTTCAGTTTCTTCTTTCCCTAACAATTCAGAGAAATAAAGACAGGAATAATGCCCAACGGGGGAAGAAAATTAAATACTTTCTGTTGGCTTCTGGTTGTGGACAGGTTCAGAATATTTAATAGATATGTTCTTGTTAGGAATATAACCAAATCAGCAGTGATAAGTAATGTTTTCAGAAGCAAGCCCATCACTTAGGATAGAAACTGGCTGGTGGCCCTGGGGGGCTGCAGTGAGGTCCGGAGCCATGGGCAGGGTGGGGGGACCCCTGGGGGCTAGGGAGGGCTAAGTGGTGAGTGCAAGCTGTGTTAGTCTCTAATGGTTAACTAGGCAAACTATTGATCTGCAAAGTCATTTTTAAAATAGGGTTTGGGGTCTAAGACGAGATTGCTTAGGGAAGCAAGTTGAAACAATTTAAGAAGTTAAAAAAAGGCTTCTTTAAGTAGCAGTTAAAAAGTTAATATCACAGATCAATATATAATCATCAGATGAGGTGGACTATCATAGGTACTAAGACCTACTGAAAGATATTTTCAGTAATGTTTTCATAGTCATAGTAAAAACCTCCGATACAGAAATCAGAGAGTTGTGTTCTAATGTTTGGCATATTTCCCTTGCATTTCTTTTCAATGCTTGTTAGTCATCTCAACATTATGAGTAATCATGTTTCAGTTTGCGATGTGTTTGTATTTCTTTTTAAATTAAGAGACTCCCACAACGTTCCAACTTTCTGTCTCTGACTGGCCCAGCAGGGGAAAAAATAACACCACATTTTGTGTTTATCTAAGCTATTTATTCACATTACCACAGCGTGAGTGTCTCCTCCTCTAGTGTATACGTGTTCTTGCAGTAGTCATTGGCAGAGGTGATGGCATCACATTGAAATGAAATGTCCACACCCTTTCTAGGGATCTGGCTTGAGATGACTTCCCCAAGTCACCCAAGTTAGGTCTGAACTGGTGAACAGAACATGGGTTGGCTTGAGTCTGCATTGCTTATCAGCATCCCCCTCTCTGTCAAATTAATCTGAAAGAGAAATAGTTACAGCAGACCCAAGTAGAGAGAGAGTCCACTATTGTCCAGCTAGATTTTGCTCCCTTGCTGTCTTTTATAAATCATTATAGACATAGCTGCAAAAATACAGTCTCCTAAACCATGTATTTGTAACCTAAGTGGTGAATCACATTTATTCTAATTAGGAATGCTTTTGTGGAATAAACCACCTGTTGTGGAGATGATTTCATAGTACGCAGGGAAAAGAAAGAAGCGTGCCATGCTCAGGGACATGAATCTCTCATTAATCTGGTAGGCATTGTCTTAAGCAGGGATTCCCAGGGGCTCTCTTCAGCACAACACATATTGCAAATAAGCATTTGAGAAAAGCCTTGATATTTTTCTACTTGGGCCAATTTGTACTGAGATGGAAGTATTAAAGAAGACAAACAGTTATTTAAGCTTGACTTACAGTAAAACTGAAATATAAACCAACTGACAAAGGAAAGGTCCTTTTGTTATGCAGTAGAAGTGCTATGCAAAATCCTCCTATGTGAATTTAGAATTCAGCATTAGAAATTAAAAGGCATGAATCAAAGTGTTATATTTCAAACAATAGAAAAAATACCAGGAAGTAGGGAAGCAGGAACTTCTCTTAGCTTTCCCGTGTTTTCAAGTTGTTGCCTTACAACCACGGTGTAAAAGACCAGTTGCAATTTGCAACAAACGGCTTTCAGCGTCTATTAATACCCAGATAATTTTCTTCTAATGACATTCCTGCCTGCATTTTTCAATTGAAGTTTTGCTGGGTAACATGATGTTTAGCAGAAATAACATATAACTGGTTGGCCATGCAATCAGCTGAGAATCTTGTATTTCTTAATTTTTGTTACTTGCTAGATGTAAAAGCCCGCTGACTCAAAATGTACCTGGATTTTCTTCACTGATAACAAGTACAAATAGTTGTTTCTTCACAACAAAAAAATATCTAATGTTATTAATTTTTCCAAATATTTCATGCATTTCGTGCTATCACAGTGAATTTCTGAATGTGCCTTTCTGCAGTATGGCATTGGAATGCCATGTCTATGTTGATATTTGGGTTTTTTGAAGAAAGCTTACTTCTTAAATTCTACAGCAGGTCCTTATTCTGTTGATTTCTTACCTATATATGTAACCAATTTCTTAACTGGTTCATAATTTCATAATTCCAGTTATGAATACAGTGATTTTTGCTGGGATCTCTATCTGGCATACCTGAATATGCTTTTGCATAGATGCATACAGAGTAAAAAGGAGAGAATGAGGATGGAGATTCTTCTGATCTTTTTCAGTTTGGGATAGTTTTAACTGGAGTTCCTTATAGCTTCATAAACTCAATGAATTTGTCATTTTCCTGGGCATACAAATTTTCTCCTGGGTTTCTTGGTTTTTTTTTTTTCCTTCCCATAAATTAGAAAAAATCTGTCTGAGGCAAATGTTAACATTTGCAAACACTAACACTTAGGAATCATTCCATCAAAAAAGGAACCTGCAGCAAGAGAAAAACAATTCTGATTGTTTCTGAAAAATTAGAATACCAGCAAACCAGGGTTAGAATACCAGAACACCTATTATTCTTGTTGTTAGGAATAAATAACTTCAGAGAACATTTTGACTTTACAGGAAGTTTGGATCCGTGGCACTTTACATTGAGTGAATTATTCCTTTGTTAATAGAATCCAGTATTATTCTGAGGATAAGAAGAGATGTAACCAGAATTTTTCCCATCACTACTCTAAAGGAAAGGTATAAGACTGTCCTGCTGTCCTATAAAGGCAAAGCCAAGCAAACAGAGCCTTTCTCTGCTTCCTTTCTTCCATTTTCAAAATTAAAAAAAATGGGTCCACAGCGGTGACCCAGTTTTGTTTTGGTTATTCAGTCAGATCTTCTTGTGGCTCAGATAAGTATATGGTGCATTGACTGAAGTTACACTGAAGTTTATATGAGCTGACAATCTTAATTTTGTTAGCCTTCCCCCTCCCCAACCCCCGTACACAACAAGATATAAATTATGTGTGACACCATAATTTCATAGTTTTAATACACGAGATGAAAGATGTTATCATGCCCCATATGCTTACTCCTTTTACAAATAGCAAGCTAGATAATTTTAAAGACAAGACAAAGACCTGGCAAAAAAGGTACGAGGAGAAAGTAAGAAAATAGCAGCACCTCTGTATCTTATGAATTAAGTCAGAAAAAAGATGATTTTTTCTAGATGATCTTTTTCTAAATAAGACTCCAAAAGTCTTATTTTCTCTCTGTCCAGCCCTAAATGATTTCTGAGCTGAGAATGGAGAGGAGTCTGGAAACTGACACCTTGTGTTCCATTAATTAAAAATAACATCTGGCATTCTGCTTCTGCTTTGCTCAGATTCTGTATAGAAACTTAGTAACGCCAAATTGCAGATATTGAGTCAGGGCAGTGGGATAAGAATAAGAATGAGTGAGTTCTTAAAATTAGAAAGTTTTCCTACTGGTTTAACATCACAATATAACTGCACAATACCTGAGGCTGTTTATTTCTGCATTATCACCTTGTTCTCATTGTGCGCCTCAATAAATATATTCTGTTCTCAAAGTTGTTTTAAAGAAAAAAAAACACAAAGCCTCTCAATCTATCAAAAAATCACCCCTCCTTCTCAGAGAACACATGTTCATTTTTAATCTAAACAGGCAATTCTTTAAAGTCAAGTTAGAAGCACTGAGACTTAATGGGTAGCTGTTTCATGTTACTTCTTAATACACCAGGGTACTTAGTGATTTTTCCTTTCACCCCCCGCCCCCAATAAATATAAGCTTTATTCTACTCAAGGAGGGGTATAATATACTTAATGTATATTTTATAGCACAAAGTGCGTGTTAGGAACAATGGAAATGCTGGAAGTATCAGTCGAAGTTCATTACTTCATTATAAATAATTTGAATACAAGAAAATTAGGTGACTTTCTAATTAAAAACAAACAAACAAAATGAAAATGTCTGTGTTTTGTTGAGGGATAGAGCAATCCTGGACAGACATCCGTCACTGCCACACTACGCAGTTTCCTTCAGCGGTAAATGACGCTGTCCTTGGGGCCACAGAAGATAACATACGTGGTGGGACTGAACTACGATCATTGAAGCAAACAATCCTCAGTGTGACTGCTTCAGGTTTAGTGCTTAAGGCAGAGTTTTTAGCAATGAGTGCTCTAAGGTAACTACTAGGAAGGACTAAAACCAATCCAAAATAAAATAAAAAACACTCCAGTTACTAGAATATTCTTCACTTAGGGAAGTTTTCTAGAATGGACGTAGAACCCAAAAAATCCCAGCTTAAAAAATGAACTATGCTGGGTGGAAATGACCCTGAACAAAATTATTGACTTGCCAGAAATAGCACATGAGGAATTACAGCAAGAGGTAAGAAGGTTAAAAACTAAGTAGAATGGTGCTAACAGTAATATTATAGTTTTTATATCTTATGTGTAATAACCTTTTGTGAAATTTAATATGTCATTTTATATGATTTTATGTGTATATATTCTACAGCTGCACTCCAATTCTGACAAAGGTGATGGATCAGTCAAATACATTCTTACTGGAGAAGGGGCGGGGACTATATTTATTATTGATGACACGACTGGAGACATCCATTCAACCAAAAGCCTAGATCGAGAGCAGAAGACACACTATGTGCTTCATGCCCAAGCTATTGATAGACGGACAAACAAGCCACTCGAGCCTGAATCTGAATTTATTATCAAAGTGCAGGATATCAACGACAATGCACCAAAATTTACAGATGGACCATACATTGTTACTGTGCCAGAGATGTCTGAAATGGGTAAGGAAAACAAATCGTTCTATTCAACAATCTTTTAACAAGTGAAAATGCCACGTACTGTTTGACAAAGTTATGACACATTATTGTATCGTTGATTGTATGTAAAAGATACTACAGTTGAGAAGAGATGGTAAGACATCAAGTGCAACCTTGTATGTTACTTGGACATTCATATTAAGAAAACAGTACACACACACACACACACATGCTGACTGTAGAGGAGAGTCACTCTTATTCTTGAATGCTGTAATAGACATTCCTGGGCAAATGGTACTTTTCACTCCAGAAACAAGATGTATTCATATATCCTCATTCAGCTACACACTTTCTGGCATTCTCTTATGTCTACATGAGTAGTCTATTCAATTCACAGAATTAAACAAATACAAAGGAATGGTAGTTTTCTAGATTATTTTAGACCATGGTGTCATATGTTTATTTACCTTTATTAAGTTTCTTATAAAGAGAAATGAAGTTCAAAAAAGTACTGTTCTTTGGTTTTCCCTGTTAGAAATGTAGTTCAGATACTCTTACTCTTTGAGGTGCTACATTATGCAGTCAGTTTTCTTTATTTATTGCTTCTCTGATGTTGAAATTAGTTTTTAACTTTCCTCTAATATCACAACATCAACGCTACATAACTAGTCTAGGATAGACAGATGGAAATATGACTTTTGTGCTAGATATTTTTTTAAGAAAGCCTAACTGTCATGACTTGTCTTTGTGAAATATGTCTGCTGCCTTTATATTACTGACTGGACAGTACAGACAGTTACCTCATGAACACACACTTTTCCCTTTCCCCCCAAATCCCCATCTAAGAAACAACCTTCAAGTCCAAGATGTGTCTAACTTTCCCAAGTGAAAAGTAAATAATTTGTTCTTCTCTCCTTGCTGTGTCTAATAAGCAGGTGATAGACTTTAACTTCTTCAGAGTACAATTTTAAAAATTAAAAGGGAAAAATATTAAAATGCATGCAGTTACTCAACTCATAACAATATTGATTATACATATAAGAACGAATTAATATTGTCATTGAATCTTAATGGTTTGTCATCATTTGATCACTTGGAATGGTAATGATAACGCATTTGAATAGATCAGAAAATAACAGATGTGTTTTGTTCCATACTTGAAAGTCATAAAATATTTTGTTAATATAATTATTTTAGATGGGAGGATACCTTGTACACCTTTCCTAGTGTAGATCGGTGAAATTCATTTTAAACTGGGAATCTGCCTTCGATTCATCTTCTGTGGTACCACCTGACATTATTACGCTGAATTCAGACATACGTGGTTGTGTAATGAGGGAAGTTTAATCTGTTTGTGGAAGTCTGCATGCTGTTTGAACTGCATGCAGTTTCACAGTATGCAAAGAAATATTTCATGTGGAGAGACTAAACAGGCCAAACCCACAGCTTCCATTGCAGATGTGCATAGTAAAAATATTGCATTCCAAACACATCTACGATTCTTTTCTTGCTTACACTAATGAAGTGTTGCATATGAAATATTTGCAAACATGTGGTAATCATACCAGTCCTGGAAAGACTGAAATATATTAAATCTTATTCCTGAACCATGGAGTTGAGAGCTGTGACAGTTTGGAAGCAGGGACTGATTTTTACACCAGTGGCTTCTTCATTGACCTAAGTGGCGTTAATCTTGTATAGAATAAGTATTCTTTCCTATCTACCATGCAAAGTCAGATTGTATTAAGTGGACTCTCAAGCTTACCAAATATCTTGTTTTAAAAGAATATAAAAAATTTCCCCCATTCTCTTTCTTTTGCCCTGACTTTATTACTGCCTTATCATTCTTTCTCTCACTGCCACTGCCACTACACTGACACATAGGAATAATTCCTTGATTTTCTTCTCAAAATGTCCTCCGTACGTGATGTTCTGAAAAATAATCTACCTGTCTACATCATAATTGTCTTGTTCTAATACTTTGTTCTTTGTAGGTACTTGTAGTACCTTTCTCCCTTTCCAGTCCTCTCCTCTCTTCCAAGTCCTCCCACAGTGTGCTATTTCAGATGTCTTCCCAGATGTGGAGAACTCTAAGCCTTTTTTTCCTGTGGTGCCTCTGGCAACAAGAATGCACAAAGGGAGAAACATCTTTCTTTGGTCTCCTTTTATTTCCTTCTTTCTTCTTCTTTCATAGGTCATTGTTTCCATACTACCCTTCAGCTTCCCTTTTATGAATTTTCTTCTTTCCACAGTCTGTTTCTCTCTAACTGGGAATTGCTACCTCATCTTTGCTTATAATTTCTATTACCCCCTCCTCCCACATTTTATTATCATTATTTATTAACATTATTATTTCTATTAGCCTCTTCTGAGTCTCCACCAGAAGAACAATCTCTATTAGCCATTTTTGTTTGGTCAGTATCTAGCTAATAAAGATTTTCAGATTATAGATCAAATACATTTTCATTCCTTAAAATCATTTGCAAATTGTTTATTGTTCTCTTAAACCATAGCTTCCTCTCAAATGCTGACTTCCTTGATCTCATCTGTTACTTCTCAGAGCTATAAACATGTAGGTCTCCATTCCATCTACACAGTGATGCTAGTGCATGTAACAGGACATGTTTTTAATGTAGAATTCCCTATTTTAATCTTCTAAGCATACTATTGCAAATATCATTCCCACGAGAAACTTATGGAAGAACAGAAGGGCAGTATTTCTGTGAGTAATGTCATAACACCAGGACTATTTAAGCAATGCACTTTTGTGGGAAGTACTACAGTGAGGGGATAGAGCTCCCAGTAAGAATATTGTGGGCCTGTATGAAACCTCTTCAATTGTCTTTGATAATTCACTGTGGCACAAAGCTTTACTGTTAGAGTTGCAGTTCATTGCAGTAACATCTAAGCTCTTACCTCAGTTGTCGCTTGTCACACCACAGACTGTCTTGGTGTGAAATTCGTTTCCTTTATCGACTGTCTCCAAAAATGCATAACTGTTTTCCTCTTTCTTCAGTTTCTTTTGTCTTTTATGGCGACCATTTTAATTAATTGATTATTTTTTCCCCTGTGGAAGCCTTTTATTTTCTGCATAGGAGGAAAGACAGTGGAAAGGAAATCAATGTTATCCTCAAAGTCAAAAGCTGCTAATACAATTATTTTGTATTTGTTCTATTTATAAAAGTTCTCTTTTTTTCATGCTCTTAGAATGTAGTATTCTTGCATAGATGTTAGTCATAATGCTGTAATAGTCTGAATCTTGGTATTACTGTACGACTACATTATACAAGTTACTGTTTTCCATGAACAATTCGAATAGTTAGTCTGGGATGACATTTTGGATTGTAAAACAGAGTGGATTATGGTAAACCAAGGAAGTTTTAGTGATAAAATAAAGCATTAATGCGTATGTTCTATAAATGAAATACCTTACTGGTTGTACCTGAGATAAATCATTAAAATATCTATTCCACAAAGCTTTCCTGTTGTGTGAATAAAACTGAATTTTCATATCCCACCATACAGGCAATCTGCTGTAGGCATACATTATATTTTCATTGCAAATTTATGATCATTATTTTCTTTTTCCCTTATTGATTTGTTTGTGTTTCTTGTATACTGAAAGCATTTTATTGTCTGCAGTCTCAGAAAGACTAATTCTATTATTGCTTCCACAGGATACATTCTTTCTGTCAAATAATGGAGATCCCTATGCCATTTTTATTAGTTCTGTAATTAACATGTTTTTTGACATTCAGCTGTGGAGTCTATACATAACTGAACTTCTTGTTGTTATTTTATGAATTCCTAAGGATGCTTCACTACTTTAAAAATTTCTTCCACTTTTTTACATCATAATTTAAAGAACTTCCAGTGTTACTGTCTCTCTGTAACAGCCCCCAGGCTGAGTGGCAGGTGATATTTTTGATCTCCATTATGCTGTTTAGTTTCAGCAGCAGGTTCCCGTCTGTCTCCTCAAGAAGTTAGCTGATATTTTTCCCACAAGTTGAACCTTTCTTGATCTACTTGTAAAACCTGTAGGACCTTTGTGGCTTTTCTTTTTTTAGGTCACTGACAAGAAAGTACAGGTAAGTTTTGTTAAATTATTGGCCAAATATTAGATCACCATATTCACTGTGGCACAAAGTGAACATATTATTTATGCTTTATGTACTATGCTGAAAGAGCTGAAAGAAAACATGTATTCCTTGCCTTCATTGAACCTTTTTCCTACAAGTTGGCTCAAGAACCAAGGTTTATATCTGAAATGATTTCTTCTTCAGTGTAAAAAACTCAGTCTCATTGAGAGCTATAACTATGCTCTGTTTTAAGGTTTATGAAAGAGTCTTCATTATCTAAAGGTAAAAGAAAATAAAAACATTTTTCAATCAATAGAAGCCTTCCATATCTGCTCATTTTCAGATAGATTCAAAATGAGTGAAATATTGTATATTAAATTTTCTAATGTTGAGGTCATGCGTAAGAAGAGTATTCCCAATAAATTCTACTTAGGAAATTAATAGACACACTGGACTTTTCTGAACTTCTTTCCAGGGTATTTTAATGTGAGGTAGTCATAATTTTAGATAATCTGGAAGACAATATTCATGGTGTTCATAAATATGATTTGTATGAGAAGTGCCTATTTATCTTCCTGTGTTGTTTGATTTTTATCTTCTAATGAAGATAGCTGACAAGAAAATATTGAGATTTTCTACAGTGAGGACTTGGATCAGTAATATAGTCACTGAACTCAAAGTGTTGATTTCCTGGTGAAATCATTATTTTCTAATGTAGAAGGAAACTAAAACATGTTGTGTTGACTTGTTAGTGTTTTAAGACAATTTTAAGAATTAATTTAGTTAGGCAGGAAATGTGTTCATTAAACGTCACCTTTTTTCAATTCTTTTACTTTTTGTTCAATATTGATCCATTTGAGATTTTAACAGTGCAGCAAACTATGGAAAGTCATGCATACAGATTTGCATTCTCAACAGGCATGTTTTATTGAACTGCCTCATTAAATATTACAAATTTGTCTTCAGAGAGACAGGTTAACCTATTTCCCTTCAGCTTTTTTTTGATATATAACTTTACAAAATTTTTATTGTAAACATATTTAAAAAAAGAGAAAAACAAAAGAAGATATTTTGAAATAAAACTACAATTTGATTTCCAAAATGAAATTATCCTTATTTTTGATAACAGAAAAAAAGCAAAACTTACAGAGTGGTGTTCAGCGCATACAGACGTATTTTACAGCTCTGTATAAAGCATTAGCTAAGAAAACAGAATTCCCAATATGTAATCTCTAAACTGTAGCGGGAAATCATGTGGAATGGTAGCTGTACTCTGAATAAGCAGAGCCTCCACGTTGGGGAAACAAGTCTTTTTTATTGCCTAACTGGAGTGTCAAAATGCTTTCATAGCAAAATTTTGAGTTTTTCTTGACAGGCATTTTCACAGTAGGTTAGTGAAGAAAGTACAGAAGGTATGCCTCTGGGTCCGATGTTCATATCTGTTCTGAGGTCTCCAGGGAAATTAGATCCTTATTTTTTGTATTAGATTATTTTCTTCAGAATTGTTAACATTAAAAATAGCAAGACAGCTGTACTGTATATTTTTCCATCTAAATCCTTCATTACACATAGCTCAACGGCAAAAACTGATGCTGCATCTGAATGGTACAAATGTATTTGGAATCATGATTTGTCCGTCATGTTGATGAGCTGAATGATGTTAACTTTGAAAGGAGTAATTGGAAGGTAAATGTACCCTCTTTACCTTTTTTCTCACAAGGCAGTCTAACTCGCAGCTTTCACAAGCTGCCCTTCCTCTGTGCTCAGCAAATCAGGCAAGAGTTAGGCAAAAGGCCAGTATGGGTCTATCTTATAAGATGCCGAGCGTGCTTGTGTAATACAGTGAAAAAGTTAAGCATCTCATGAGCTACATTGCACTGAATGAGGGTTTGAGAGGTGGGGTGGGGGGATGAGTTAAAACTTGTGATTCTAAGTGCTCTTTTAGATGGAAAGAGAACACTTTGCCGCTATTCCATACTATTCCATACCAAATTACTATTATCAGGTGTTTCTTAGGAGAGAGATACAGATGTATTAGAAAATGACTGTGGTGGATTTTAAGGTGATAGCATTCCATTCATGCTAAAATGACCTGTCAGCTGCTTATGTGCGATATCACCTTTCACTAGCCCTGTGTCTTTGTCCCACATCAATGAGCAACACAAGCACTCAGATTCTATCCCCTACCTTTTAAAATAAGGAGAGAAGAAAGTCTCTGAAGAATGAGAGAACCATGAAATCTCAGTATTTCTGGTATTTTCTTCTTCTGAAATAGCTAAAATCTGTTCATCCATTCCAAAACCTACCTTGATTGTCTAGAACTCTGGGAAAAAGTGCAAATGGGAATTCAACCTGTTAGACGAGTAGGCAACTGTTCGTAACTGTTTTCCTGGAAGCAGGAAAATCTATAGATAAAAAGGTACAGAAGTTGGCCAGCACACTGGGTAGCAAACTCTTGTAGGTGACTGACTATACCTATTGGATGGGTATGTTTTTGTTGTATGCAATTAAAAAAAATAAAATCGTTGTGTATCAGTAACCTATTAATCTTTAATGATTCCACAAGATTCCAACATGAAATAATGAAGCCATGAATAAAGGTAAAACAACAAATTAGTGTGAACAGGCCTTCACCCTTGAATACAGCAAGCTTAACTAGAAGACAGAAAGGTCACAGCTTTTCCACCTCAAGTTAGAAATTATTGCCAAACGGCTACAGAATTATATCATTACAGTATTTAGATAAGCTATAGAATAGAGGAAAAAAGTGCATTTTCTGTTCTTTGAAGTGACCTGATGTGGTTTGCAGTAACTCTTATTCTAAGTTTAGATAGCAAATAAATATGACTGAGTAGATTCCTAGAACGTTTTAAGAAAATTACACTAACTTTAATTCATATTTGTCTACCTTGCCACATAAACCCAAATACAGTAATTTAGACAGTTTTACCGTTAACTCCTGAATAACTATGAACAGACTACTAGCTCCAGCTTGATTTTATTACAATATTCAACTTCAAATTCATCAAGGTATCCTTATATCTGCTGTGTGAATATGTTTATCTATGAGATTGTATGCATTTGGGCTATTCAGAGACCAGAAGACACTATATTTAGTGTATATTTACTATATATTAGTATATTTATACAGGTTTGCTGTACCTTTTACTAAATCTCCAGTAGATAAACAAAAAGCAACTTTCGGTGTCTAAGTTAGTGTGGCACAAATGAATGAATAGTTTCTCAAACAGTGAAGAATCCAAATCTGCGAAGATTTGCGTACTTGCTTTGCTGTACTCGAAGTGAGACTCCATGATTTTAGGTATTTCTATTCCCAGTGTACACTGAGGGTGTGCACGTTAACAAACAGTTCTGTGCAATGGAAACTGATCTAGGAAGTTAAACAGTTGGAGCTGAGGATCCGATATCCACACCGTATGTTTTTGGGAAGTCTTATTTCAGACTAGCTCTTGTCTGGTCTCTGAGACTAAAAGCCTATTAGCAGTCAGAATAAATCAGATGTGTGGCTAAAGCACATCTTCTGGTTTAGTTTCATCAGAAGGAATCTAGTTAGCATACTCTGAAACTGTTCCATGAGGCAAATCAAAGCGCGACAAGTGGGGGAGATCAGGGGGTTCAATTCAAAAGCATACTTCTCCTCACAACTAAGATGTGAAACTGAACACCCCAGGGTGGCGGTGATGCCTCAGTGGTTAATTTAACTGAGAAGCCACTTTCAGATGCAGAATTACATGAGAGTAGCCTGTTCTGTTATTATTATTCCTGTATTTTAATACTGGGCCAAAATAGTCTGTAGAAAGCAGTGTCTGTAGAAGGATAAACAAGTGGGATGAAGACTGAACCTTTATTAACTTGCCAATTTTCTTATGTGAAGTGTTGGGCAGTGATAGCAAAAAAGATTCATCATTAAATGTCTTGAAAAATATAGTAAAATGTAAAATCACTTGTCTCTATTCTATCCGTGCAGTACTTACGCATTTTATTTTCTACAAAGTGTTACTCATAAGTTATCCCACTTAGTGACATGCTAGAAACTATGATTTTATTTTTCTAATGGTATTTCTTAACAGCATACAAATATTTGTCTTTTGAACTCCTTATCTTTCTAATTTGGATCCATCATTGGAATTCCAACAAGGTTCTAGTAATTATTTCCTTTTCAGATCTTTGATGCCTTCCGATAGCTAGATTTTTTGATTCCCTTATCATCTTTTATTGATTTGAGGACATTTATGCAAATTATTTTGAATATGCACTTCAACATTAATTTTTATTGTGGATGAAAATAATCCTGAAGTCCCTAAATATGAGTTGTTCAGAAGTCTAAGCAATATCCAAGTTTTGGGTGTATGTGTGTGAACATGCATAAATATGCATGCTATGTAGGTACTATTTATGTTTTTATATATGTAAAAAAGTTACATATACATATATAGAAAGAAAGAGAAAAAGTTTTTTTCAAATGAGTATAAATAGTTTTCATTAAATATGGTAATAAATAGTTTTCATTAAAAATATGGTAGGATAATAACATACAGAGAAAATGTTATTAATCTCTTAATTGTAGAATGTGAGGGCTGTAGACATTTCAAAATGCATCTAAAAATATTTATATTTGTCAGAAAATTGTATTTATTATCAATCAACTTTTATTTTCCTGTATATACAGGTACATCTGTTCTACAGGTGACAGCCACAGATGCAGATGACCCTACATATGGAAACAGCGCCAGAGTAGTGTACAGTATTCTTCAGGGACAGCCATATTTCTCTGTTGACCCTAAAACAGGTGGGCATTTTATATTTCTATCAGTGTGATTGGGCTAATACATTGCAGTTAAGTAAGTCTGGTAGATGAAATCCAATGTACAAAACACAGGTGGGTGGGACTTTTTTTTTTTTAATTCCTATTATATCCTACTTCTTGCTTTTACACTACGAAATTTAGGAGTTGCTATGTTTTGCTGAGTACTAAAACGGGCCTACTGTGTACAGAATTAGTTCTGCATCATGCCATGATGTGAGCCGTTCAGCCAAACTGGAACAGTAGTCTTTCATCTTTTCAAGCCTCTGTTTAGGTAGTGACTCAAGTGTGCCTAATACATTATGATTTTAAATGCTTTGTTTTGCCCGAAGGATAGGCTTGGAAGTCTTATTGAATGTGGTCTTCAACACATATACCATAATTAATATCATTCTTGTACTTATAAAACTGCACTATTGTCATTTCACTGAAAATTTATTCTGTGATTCAAGAAGTAGAATGAGCTGAAATATTTATGCTTAAACTCTATGCATCACCCTCTCCTTTTTTCCACAAAGTGTGAGTTATGTATAATGAATTCAAATTGGTTTCTTTAAAGAGAGAAGAAATCTCTTTTGGGGATGGGGATTGTTACTAGTTTTGGATTTTCTGAAAAGCATTATCTTAAATATTAATATGATGGTATATTTTTAGTGTGCATTTATAGTCCTTAATAATGAGGAAATATAATTTAAGAAAGTACTTTTTTCATCTGAATTTTGTAACTATTTTTCCCTATCTGTATTAAAGCTTTAATACTGAGGGGAGAGAATGAAATATAGTGATCCCTACACTTAACTGTAGGGAAGAATAATGATTTTTAAAATGTGCTGAAGTGAAGTAAGCATAGTGTAAATAGTTTTCATTGAAATGTTTTTACATTTAAGTGTCTTTGCTTGTGTACGTTAATCTCTGTGGAACTTGGAGGTACATGCTTGCTTCATTACCAAGAGAAGTGTATCTGTGCCATCTCAGCTAGCCTTGAGGTTAGGCCTCCTTTGAGTAGAAGGCTGGACTCAATGACCCTCAGAGGTCTCTCTCAACCTAAATTATTCTATAAATTTGTGAGCTCATGTTAGAAAGGCCAAAGCGTGCAAAGCCTGACAGGATCATGTTGGAGGACTATATAAAGTGCTGGGAGGCAAACCTGATGCAGGCCTGTTCACACACGCTGTGTTTCAGGAACGACTGCTGGCACACACCTTACCCAGCCATGTGTGAGTACAGTCTGGCAGAGTACTAGCTGGCACAGGCTAAAACCACTCTGAGATACATGTCAACAACTAAGAGGTATGGAAAATCAGTGGTACAGTGCTCAAGCTCTCTCTGCCCTTGTTTTACTTAGAAATACAACGCTGGCCTACATTTCTGCTTCTGTTTTGTCACTCTGAGGCAATGGCCTATATTTTTTACTTTGATAATGGTGTGGAACTTGTAATCTGGACCTGCTATTCAGTCAGTGAAGAATCATAATAGATGTTCTCAGTATCAGGTCTGTATCACAAAAGAAAATAGTATTGTTATATTGCCCTTTGTATGTTATAAAGAAAGCAGATGGAAGTGTGTTTTCACTCCCCAAGCCTTAGGCTTTGACAGGGATTTAAGGACACTTTATGAATTTAAACTGTTTTTATTATGTGTCTAGAATATGAAAATGTTTGATACCTTATAGTCTGTTAAAATGGCAAAAGAATAAATACCTTATGAGGTAAGTAGACAGTGAAACAGTGAAAAAAAAAATGGAGAAGGCTTTTTAATTTGATAAGTTGTCTTTTTATAATTCCAGAATAGCAGTTAATTTAATTTGGCATGATATAATGCAAAGAAGTAGAATATTGGAAGTGATAGGAAAGTCTTGAAGTATAGTGTTTCACTATGAAATTTCACTTTGAATTTCTGGGGTTTGAGACACTTATTTTCTAAAAACATCGCTCTTCTGAATTTGCAAGCATTTCTGTGACCTATTTTTCCTAAGGCTTGAATTGTTCGATTCCATCTTAGTTACATTTTATCTGGAAGTTTTCTAAATTTACCCTGACATGCACAAACTTCCTTTACAAGAAAGAGGTAGAAGGGCCAAAACAGGGAAAAAGACAGAGAAAGGTCCCAACATTCATGACTGAATGTAACGTTTGTGAAGCCTAAGGATCTTTTACGGCTATCAGTAAAGCTTCTTGGAGCTATCAGATCCAGACATCAAGTTGTTCATAGCTCTAGTGTGAATACTTAAGAAGTCTTCTGCTTCTAGCTTAGTGCTGCCTAAACTTGGTTTTAAATAACTTACTATCTGAAGACTTTAAAATTATGGATTTTTAGGAGCTTAGTTTAGAATAGTTTAAATAGGATTTTAGAATTCATACATCTAAAATGTAATAGTGGGCCAGCACTAAATTACAAACTTTGAAGTAAAAAAAGATGTGTTCTTGGCAGAAGAACATCTTTGTTAACTTATCTGATGAAAGGCTCATCTCTACACACCCAAAGGAGGGCAGAAGTGCAGCTCTGGGAGAGTAACCCCCCTGCCCTAATTAGAGACTCGAGCCTGGGCTCGTCCCAGGGCTGTCACAGGACAGCCTCAGCCCCATCGGCCAGGACTGAAACCCATCATGAGGAGTCCACAGGAGATGCTGTCCTGATCACCCTTCAGGCTCAGGAAGCTACTGCCTACGGGGCTATGGGACACATTATAGGATGCACAGAAGAGCATTATGGTATTGTACTAGATCTATTCTGGTTTAAAGGAAGAACCACAGGCAGGGAAAGGGAGGGATTGAGATGGATTAGGGAGGAAAAAGCAAGGAAAAATAGAGGGCTAAGGGGGTAAAAGGGGCCAGTCCTATGTAAACAGGCTCTTGCTCAGGACTATTGTCTAGTCGTGCCCTCTGCTTGATCAGCACAGTCTGTCCTGTACCTTCTTATGCTTCACTTCTAACTTTTTCTGAGTAAAGGGACTCTGTATGCATGTGTGTCTGGAGGCCTAAGTGTCAGCAACTGGAGCTGGACCATGGTCAGAGGGTCCCATGTCTCTGTGGTGCCAGCAAACAGGAGAGTACAGAGTGTGTGCATATTGCATGGGTGTGAATGTCAGTGTGGGATCACTACTGAGTGTCAGGCTGGAGTAGCCAGCGAGTCAGATGAGTGGCTTGGGTGCCAGGTATCCACGTGGCCAAAAGGCTGGGCCAGACACTGGAGAGACCAGAGGGTTCACAAGTCAGCTGTTGCAGGGGCCCAGAGGTCCAGACTGACTGCAGGAGTGACTGTATAGTCTGTGGGTTGACTGAGAGGCCTGTTTGCATCTGTGTATCTCTGTGCATGAGGCAAGGGGAGAGCAAGGAGCCAGGAGCAAGCTCCTGGATAGCCTGGGTGTCAAAGGTAGCTACTGAGAGCCCATAATGTATACGTGGGGGTGTCAGTGGGCATGCAAGGTAACTGGGAGTCCGGAGGGTTCAGGGCCAGTTACTGGATACGCTTAGTGTCTAAGGCCCGTAACTGGGGAATCTATAGTGTGCTGGGGTGGGTGGGGATGTGTGAGTGTGTCCAGGATGAAAAGGGGATCTGTACCAGCAGTGGAGGGGAGCTGCAGGCCTCGGACTTGTATGTCCAGGTTCCACCAAATGGCGAGACTGGGGACCCAGGTGCCAGCTACTGGACAGACTGAGTGTCTAAGGCAAGTTACAGGGGGGATCCTTGAGTACATGTGTGTATTTCCAACTAAACCGTCCTTCCTCCTGATCAGCCGGAGAAGGATGAGGCTGTTTGTGCTGTCTGAGTGCTGAATGTTTCTGTGTGTTGCCCACTGCGTGTATGGGTTGCATGTGTGCGCGTGCCTCTTGGGAACACTCACGCAGCCTCACTGCTGCTTCTAAATCACAGATTAAAAACAGGGAGCTGCAGCAACCTCACCTCCATGAGGCTACCAGATTTGGCAACTCCTAACAATCTTTAGTTTTTTAAGTGATTGGCTCTAGGGCCTGTATTTCACTTTGGTTTGTTATTTTTTTCCCTGGGAAGGAAGAATTGTAAACTCTGTGTGTAGAAATTTGCTGCAACTATGTTGTTATGACTGTGAATGTCAGAACTACTGTCCATGCATAACATAAACTGTAAGATTTTCAATATCCTTTGAATTTGAATGGCTTTCTAGGAAGTGCATTGTATTTGTATTTATTAATAACCTTTAGTAATTAGCTATGGGATGTAACAGTAATAAGTTATGTAATTAGTAATTAGCTGTGATAGCTTGTGTTGGTTCCTGTTTGCTTTCCTCCCCAATTGCAGCAAAATATTCTGCTGAATTTTTATAAATAAATATGTATTAATAATGCTGATGAAAGAGAGAGAAGAAGTCAATGTCTAGATCCTAGGTGTATTTGCAAAGATTACGTGTATAGGATTATGTGATTTTTTAAATCAAAATATTCAGGGAACCCCAGAAAACATGAGTTGCTTATCCTTTTAGAGTACCATTAACCTCGCTATAAAAATACAAAAAAAATAAAAATATAAGTTATCAGTGAAGAGTAGAGCAAATAATTTATTAATATACTTAGTGTCTTAATATGGTTCTCCCACCCCGTAGAACTCTGAACATCTTCTGAAATGCGCAAAAACACATGAAAACTTTTCCTGGGAGTTTGAGTCACAAATGTAATACCCCACCTTTTCCAAAACATGAGGGTTTTTGATCCATGAACTTGATGTAGGATCTATCCCTGCTTGTTCTTTGCTTATGTCGAAGCAACATCAAACAGCAACAGTCAACATTTGACTGGTAACCCAACCCCAGAAGCTCATTTTTTCCTGGGGAAACCTCAAATTAGACTGTGGGTTTTTTCTAACAGCTATAGCAGCCCACTTTCAGTTGCCACATGCTTTGGGAATGAAAGTGAAACCCGTAGTCCCATTCTACTGCTTACATAGTAAACCCATATCTGGAGGATGTTAGCTACACAGCTTTTCCCAGATGTATCAATCTTTCTGAACAG